CTTGTGCCGAGGGCGACGTCCTGAAGCACCCCAAGAAGCAAGAGCTCATCAACGGCCTATACACGATGCCCACCTTCCCGCGCCGCTTGGAGGAAGTGAAGAAAGTGCAGGAATTGAAGGATGCCATGGCCAATCTGAAGGACCTGCGCCAACAGTTGGAGTCGAAGATCGGTTTCAATGCCTCGGTGCCGACGATGTACTCCGAGGCGAACATGGAGCAGATGATCCAACTCATGAACGATGGAATTGCAGGCGATGCAGAGACGTCCATGCGCGGATCTGCAACGAAAGATGTATGTGATGAGTAAAAGAATTAAAGAAGTGCTACTTGTAGAATCATAGCAAAACATCAACAAGATTAACATTGGCCATGACTGCGTTCAGAATTCAGATTCAGGACCTCTGATCTGGGAGATTTCGCTACTGCAACGTCTCAGTCGGGGTCGCTGACGCTCGTGACGATGACTCACATCCTGTGCTTGTACACTGCACACTCGAATCGAACACATTCTGGTGGAAAGAATCTTGGAAGGGGAATGTCATCGTGAGTTGAAGCTTGCCTGATTGTTTTGTGCATTTTTGTGAGAGTGGTCCACCCGTCCGCGGCAGCCTTCTGCTGAGGGCCGGGTGCTCGCCACTCCATTTGACAGCGCTCATCCTCCTGTCGTCCAGGGGGAAGTGGAATGAGCAGGTGTTGTGACTACTATTTGCAGCACGCACGCACTGCTGCTACAAAGACGGGAGGATGAGCTGCTTTGCATTCCTGCGTGGCCTCACCAGTCGGCTAGGCAAGGAGTAGCATGAAACCTTATGCAATCGTACGATGAGAGGATCAGAACATCGGATCAGTGGAGGGCACAATGTGGCACCGCCCAAGAATGTCCAAGACCTGAAGCACTGCTGCTTGACGTCTCAGTCACGGCAACGGCTTGCCTCTCAAACCCTTTGTTTGCATCCGTATGTCAGAGAAAAAGTGATAGAAGCTAACGTGTTCGTTCGGACCGCATTTGACATCACGCAATTATGGAACGTTAGTTCAACGTGAAGTCTTAACTGCATGATACCTGGCGGGCATGTTTGCGCTGTGAATTCTGATCTGCGTGGTCGCCGTGATGACACAAAGTACAGCAGTGACACTCATGTAAGGGTCTTTTCGACCTGTGCTGTTTGTAAATTCTCAGGCTGCTTAGGAGCTGTCAGGTGGAACATATACATACATGTATATATATATATAGGTATGTGTTATGTATATATATATATATAGACTTTTTATTATATATATATATATAAGGATGGAGTGCGGAGTGCAGTACAATGGGGTGAACATGCCCAGGCCCTCTATAGGCATGTCGAAAGGAAATCTTTAGGGTTGACAGGGTTTAGGGTGCCCAGTTGCCGACTTTGCACTACAAAACTCGCCTGATTGTGTCGCGCTCTGAACACCGCAAATCTCTCCACGCTGCAACTCATAATTTTGCTTATACCTGTGAATTCTAAAACCCCGAAACCCAAAGCCCGCAAGTCCTAAGGCTTCCTAAGGTCATAAACACCCCAAAGAAACCCACCCAACAGCCGTATACCGCGTATTTCACCAAAGGGGGTTAACAGTACCATACTATAATATACGGGCCTCATTTTAGACACCTGTACCATATCCTATAATGATTTGCCGGCAGAGCCTGCTCCTCCCTGCATGAACTAGCATAGTTAGGCCCCCAAAAGTATACTTCAGGCATCCTTGGCGCCGCTGCCAGCAGAGGAGGAGTTAAGGAAGCGAAGACGGCGTAAGCACTGAGAAAAGACACTGCGGTTGGAGGGAGGGGGGGTGAGGGTGGGGGGTGGTTCAGGGGTTTAAAGGGCTGTTTTGGGTTGTCGTTGCCTGCCGGGTTTAGGTTCAACGGGTTCCCTTTAACGATACTTTTTCAAGCGTAACCTATGGAAGATCCAATTAACCATTGCGATGTTCCCACGGCACTAGGGATGAGGGCTTGTATAGGATCCTGCCGGGATCCCTCTACAGGTCTCTGATCCTCGCCCGTCTGCAAGGATGCCAGGTCAGGGAAGCCCCGCAAGTTGCAGCTCTCAAATTTCACTGCTCATGCGCCGCTCTGCCAAGTCACAGCTCAAGAAACGAGGCCCTAGGTGGGCTTGATTGTGCATGGCGCCACTGCGACATACCCAAACCTGAGCACGGAAGCTGCGGCAAAGATTCGCTGCCCGTCCGAAAGCACCCAGTGTCCGAATCCAGGAGCCCACGCACACTGCGTCATCCTGAAACGACGTCGCATCATTCATGAACCCATGATACCCTTTAGCCTCCGGCGTTCAATTCATGCAGCATCTAAACCCTGCAAGCATCTAGAAGCCTGAAGTTCTGAAGGCCTCTAAAACCATCTATGCACCTCGGCCCCATGGATCATGGCCATTCGCCGCGCCTCTCCCGGTAGCTCCCTGACGGAAAGATCCACGTTGGAAGCCCCGGGTTCCTAGTTTCAGGTTA